AATTTATTGTATATAATATAACAAGTTCAAAATAATACTACATTCTGTACAATTTTTTTTCGATAACATGCAAACTGTTTAGTAAGAAAAAAACATTCTGTTATTATATATGACAAGGTTACCATGAGAACAAAATTCACATTATACAACTTTGTTCTACATCATTGAATTATGTTTATGCCGATTTGTATAAATTCAGTATAATCATAATTCGGTTTATCGCTAAATTGATTTTCTTCATTGAATTCAATAACGTTTTAGTTGCTTTATTGAAGCATCATACAATCAAACGTTTGACAATATTAATAGCTGCAATTATATATTGAAAATAATCACAGAACATACATCAATCTACAAGCTTGATTATTTGGATATAATGAGTAATTTATTATGTAAATTAGACAAAAAACCATGAGGATAAATTATTTGTAAATAAACGGTTGATAAATTGTTGAAATAGTATCATTGATACAAAGATTTTGATTATGCAAAGTATATGATACATGATCAATGTAAATTATTATCAGAAGGGGTATCAGGGATATTATAGTAATTTCAATGGTTGAGATCATGAGTCAGTTGAATCCAGAACACCATGAAAAGCCTGTAAGAACTGGACGACTGTTTCGTCTTACTGTGGGACTACTCAGAGTTACGCAACCACGATCCCACTCACGAGGGATTCGACCCCAGGACCCATCAGTCTCGAGAGCGAACGCTTAAAATTGGGGTCACTGTGCCAGCATCCAACAGTGTTAATGTCTAACTTCAATCAATCCACGAAATTGAGCGACACATTGTGAAGTTAGAAAATTATGTGGTTCAGCATCGATTTAGTTGGTATTCTCTGTGTTGTATTTGAGGAACTTGCTTTATCATTTTTTGTGTATATTGAGGCCTACTGATGCAGGTGCTGTTTCTACTACACTAGTTCTCTTCATCTACATTGTTTCATTTGTATAGAATAGGATCATTGGTCATTCCTAGGACCAAACATCCATCTCTGTACATTCAGGTTTTCCATAGTGATCTAGCTTCAATTGACTTATGTATCCAACTATTAAAATTGCTTATAATATTCACCAAAAAACTCACATCAAATTCATTTTATTAGTGAACACTTATATTATTTATACATTTGATCAAAATTATCAACATAAATGTATAATGATAAATTAGTTTATTCTGTTTTCTTTTAACTCTTCTTCTTCTTCTTCTTCAATATTATGTAATACTTTAATTCATAAAAACTACACAGCTTTCTAACGTATACTGTACCATTGCATTTCTTAGATATACAATTTAATGACTATTCATTTTATTCAAATTATACGTCAATTAATATACGTCATAGAAATAATTGTAGATCATGTATTCAACTTATTGAAGGAACTTGGATCGGATAGTCGGAACAAAGATAAATGACTTTCTCTTTTCTTTTTTTTCTCATTCACATTATTTTAGACGTTACTTCTATTCTTTTAAAAGTCATATGATCGTTTGCATATCGAGTAACAATGGTACATTTCAACATAGAGTTGTATTACATAATTAATATGAAGATCATTATAGAATGTACGCTGGTGTATAGTCATGATTGGTTTGACAAAAAGACTCAATACTAGAAAATGAATATAAAGATACATTATTTGAAAGGAGTAATTCTCAAGTTGTTTTTTTTTAAGAAAAGCGATAGTCACAAAGATCACAGTAATATGAAGTATGTGACTCAAGTTTTATGGATAATTGGGGGTCATATGATTTCAGAGCACAGTAATGACTTGGTTGTTGATCCCGTTTATGGTCGAGCTATCTTTAATTAGTTTGTAAATTGGATAGATTTCAATATGTCTTTGTTGATTGCTGATTGATTTAAGTGATAAGCTTCTATGAATAATCTGCTGTTCATAGTATTACATCTAACAAGGATTTTAACATTTTCCCTGTCACAAATGTGTTCACAATTGTTCACGTGGATTGATGTAAGTGAAGTTACATCACAGAGCTCGACAACTCGTTGGTGTTCATTCAAAAGAAGATATAAATTTCACCAACGTTTTCTATTCAAATTTTTCGTTCGGTCTGGATAGATGATGTTTGGCACTTATTTTCTCACATTTCATTTGTTTAGTTTGCATAAGATTATTTGGTTTCAACTTGCTGATACAAGTTAAATGTGAATTGAGTTAGAAAATTATGGAGTACAGCATCGATGTCGACGTATACATCGTAACAGTCACTATACATATACGTATAGAGTTATAATTTGTAAGCAATGTGGAAAGAGGCTCACCTACACTAATAGATTGACAAATATCACATCATTAACTTTATGCAATATCAGATGTCAACAAAATTTCACCAGTAACGAACCAATATGTTTCAGATGTTATCATCAAGAATAAATGATTTATTGATGGGCAAATTTATCCCACATAGTCGACCCTTCAAATCATCTGCAACTACAAAGAAGTAACAAAGACATAGAGCAACAACAACAACAGCAACGTAATCTGACAAATCTTCCGTTTCACTTCTTCTCTCACTCCTCATGCACTGAAATGACTAAAAACAATTCTATACAAACTGATCAACTGTTTCATGGAATTTAGAACTAATGAATTAAAATGTTTTCTGGATTTAATCATGTGCAGTGTCACGAAATCATAATGTCTGTTTGTGAACAAATAAACGCATAAGGTGACAACATGAAGGCAAGTTGGTTAATCACTCTCAGCGATAATAATATCAGGTAGTCGACGTATCACACAATCAGTCATGATGACCACGTCTCACAGATACATTGTGGGCGACTGTTCCACAATGAATGATCGAAAATATGTTTTGTCGATAATAGGTATTGAGAGTGAAGTTGGAATGAAATACGTTCATTTTCGATATTGTGTTGAGTACATTTCTCGGTGATTCTTCACGCTTCGTTGCAATTTTGACTATCAAAAATGAGTTGCCTGGTTCTTGAAGAAAAATATATATTTAGTATATGTCAATGCTTCCATAAATAATCAATTACTAGACTAATACGTCTGAATTTTCTAGTCTAAATCGCAATTACTATAGAGCAAACGAAGTAAAATTCAACGATTGTTAGATTGTATTATACGTTCGTCTTTTATGCGAACACTACTGAGAATATGATTACAGTATTCTAGAAGTTGTCAGAATACTTGTATAACTGTTGTTGAGGTTAAATAATATACAAGCTATAGCTGATGTAACCTAAATGCATAAATTGTTAGCCGCTCTGCGAAGTGCATTTTGCTTAACTATCTTAGTCTTTGATTAACCTGCGAAGGAACTCTTGGTTGCTTCTTACCTTCTGCAATGGAGTTGAAATTGAGATGAGTATCATAAAAGTAAATCCACAAACACTTGTCACTTTCACATTTCAAGTTTCATCGAGAGCACTGTAAAATAAGCCTTCTAAGCTCAGTAGTGATGTGGTTTTCCCTGTAGATAATCTCTTTGGGACAAGGTGAATATACTACCTGAAGGTCATCGTCATACGGAAAAGGCTTACTCATGCTGAATCAATTGCAGTTATAATTTATATAGGCTATGAACTTCACAGGTCATGAGAAACTATCTTGTACTATACAGTTTGTGACCGGATGTGATTACAATAGGGAGCGTCGTTTCTTTTAATTACGTGATATCTATTAACGCTCTGATGGTCGACTGGATAATGAAAACCTCGACATCTTAGGTAAAACATAGCATACAATGGACAGCTCAGAACCAATTTGATGATTTGGACTTCTCAGATGACCTATCCCACCTATCGTATACATACGAACAAATGCAGATAAAGATAGCCAGCGTAACAGTGACAGCCTCTACATCAGTAGGCCTCAATATGCACAAACAAAAAAGCAAGATCCTCAAATACAACCTAGAGGATACCAACTATCTCAATCACACTTGGTAGAGAAACTCTTGAAGATATGGAAGACTTCACGTACCTGGGAAGCATCATCGATGAACAGACGTGACGGAGAGGATTGGCAAAGCAAGGACCGCATTCCTACATTTCAAGAACATATAGAACTCAAAACAACTTTCAACCAATATCAAAGTCACAATCTTCAATACGAACGTCAAGATAGTCAGCACTACTGTACGGATCTGATATGTAGAGAACTACTACAACTCTCATCAAGAATGCACAAGTATTTATAAAGAGTATTCTACGAAAGATACTCAACATCCATTGACCGGATATCATCAGCAACAGCCTTCTGTGGAAGAGAACAAATCAGCTTCGAGATGAAGAGGAAATTAGTAAAAGATGATGACAATTGACAGGACATAAATTACACAAATCATCAAACTGTATCACGAGGCAGGCGCTAAATTGGAATTGTGTAGGGTAGCGGAGAAGTTAAATGCCAAACAGCACATTTCGTCGAGTGATAGAATTAGGTACGAGAAGGATGAATAACAAGTGGAAAGAAGTAGAAAGTACTTCCCAGAACAGGGTTGGGTGAAGAATACTGATGGGTGGCCTTTTCTCCTCCATGAGGAGTAACAGGAATAAGTAAGTAAGGTTCTGTTAACGAGGACAGAATTTATCACGTAATCATGGAGTCTCTGATCCCATAAATTAAGGATTTATCTGTAAGGAACGGTGATTAATTATATCGAAATCTTTAAGATTAGTTTTTCACCCGTTTTTATTTTCTCTAACATCTGTTGCCTTATTATGTATGACTACAATTGCCGATTAGTGGTATGTTGTTACCTATTAGTTAATATATATAACCCTACGAGTAGTTCGGTTATACTGAAGGATAATGGTAGTAGTTTTCTCTGTCTGAGTACCAAGTTAGAGTAAGGCTATGACTAGTAGTCTCACACTATGATGGAACAGTTGTCCAATATCTCGCATCAAACCAAGAGGCAGATTACAAAGCTTTACATTATGTTTATTGTTTGAATTCAAATACGATGATTAGTAAAATAAATCAAATATTAATGGGATTAATTTTAAACTTATCTTTCTTTTAGAAATTAATTTACTGTTTATTTTAATATTTGTTCAATAAATGGTCATGTACATTTTCTTCAACATAAGGACAAATATGCTGAGAGAGTTGGTGCAGATGTTCTATTCTATCTAGCTGCAGTTCTCAAATATTTGGCTTCATAAGTATTGGAATTATCTAGTAATGCCATTCGTGATAGCAAGAAGACTTACATCATTCCAAGACATTTACAGTTAATCATCCACAACGATAAATAATTGAACAAGCTTCTTGGTGAAGTTACAATAGCACAGTTGAATGTTCTACTAAACATAGTGAAATATAAATGGCAGTTATTTTTATCAAACAAAAGAGTTAATTATGTTAAAAGGAGTTAAAGTATTTTCTTTAGTTTAAAATAAGTTAGATTCATAAATCATAAAATCAGGAAATGATAAATGACAAATATGATTTTCAGTCGACTAGTTATATTTGAGTATTTCAAGGTATATAGAAATTATTATCATTGGTATTATAATGAATAAACAATGAAAAAATGAATAAGACAGTTTAGAATTAACTAGTTCTCTCTATGATTTTTTAAATATTTACTTGATTTGCCTTGGTTTTATTCCCTAAGACAAATTTATATTTGAATAGTTGGGACTATGAGTCAAATGAAACTAGACCACTATAGAAAACCTCGAAGTAATGGACGGCCGCTTCACTCTATTGTGGAACTCTTCAGCGGTGTGCATCCACGACCCCACCTCGTGATATTCGAACCCGGGACCTATCGATCTCGCGTGCGAGCGCTTAACCAAAAACATTATATATATTTAAATAGATGTATATGGTAGTTTATTGCACTTTTTAGTTTTTATACTCATGTATATTTTTAAGATGGTGTTTGGAAGTAGTTTATAAGAAATGCTGGACCTCAGTTTTGTATTATATAGAATTGAAGTCTCCGATGGATTTAATGCCGTCTCATTCAGATTCAGTCAAAAACTTTATCACTGTCGACTAAATCGAACCAGGTGACAACATTTCAACATTTAGTGCACACAGTTACTTAGACTAAAGGTTATATTGTAAATTGATCGATAATATTCAATCAGAACCAAGAACGACTTGAAATATATATATAATTGATCACTACGCAGTGGTCAATCTATTGTCAATCGTATATATTTAAATGAACTGATCTTGTCTTTGAACGCATGTCCAATACCATTGATTTAAAGATGTGAACAGTTGCAAATATTAATAATTCTCATGAGGGTCGATACCCAGAGGAAATTTATTCATTGCATATTATTTAGTAACTTCAATATGTGATAGAATAATGATAATTAAGCGAAACAATCGTTTTTTTTTCAAGGACAACACTGACTGATTTTATGCAATCCTATCGCAACTGCTAAAAACCTTCGCGATAGATGTGGCACACAAACCGACAAAATCACTACTTGGTAGTCTCCTTTAAAATTAAACAAATTGGATGATAAACGATTGGTAAATATTACGTATTGAAAAAGTATTACGTAATAAATCCCAAAAAATGGATGTAGGGTAAAGATAGATTGTAGATGGATGAATAAGTATATCATTGATATAATTGTTCACCTGATGAATATGAATTAGCATAGTCTGAAATAATGAGTTACATACAAATCAATCAATAACCCAATTCTGGAAAGTATCTCATCAATTCAGAATATGTTACTTACTTACTTACTTACTAGATTGGTGTGAAAACGAAGGAACAATCAAGTTTGAGACAGTTGATGGAAATTTTGCAAATGAAGTATTCACTGTATAGTTCTCATATTTTACTAAGAGATTCTATAATTTTATGTTCAGTTACATACGATTATTTCCACTTATGTTATCGTTTACTACAAATTTACGATACAAGTAAAAATATGAATGTAAATGGCTTTGTTGAAAAGAAAATTCTCTTTGCTGAATTCCCTTTATCATCATATATCTTTTTCGTTTTACAAAATGGTATTTATATATATATAACTTTACAACCATTAACTTCAAATCATTCTATATACTTAATAGTATAAACGTATTCAAGCATTAAAACAGCTTAATCAACATAGAATATTAATAATTCAATCTGTTTATCGTGTAAACACTTACACAAAACTCATAAACAAAGAGTATTTATGTATGGTAGTGTAATTTTAACTCGTAAATAAATCATTCAAAACTTATTAACTGCATAATAACAAATTTTAAAACTCTTAGATTGTTGCAATCGAAGAATGAATTAGGTGGATTATATTTTGAAAAAGTATTAGTAGTAAATGCTAAATAAGTATATGGCTTATACATTTTCATACTAAATGTATTACCATAATTCAAATACGATCAGCTTATATTGAGATGGTGGAGATTTGTAGCTCAGGTGGATGATTTTGATGGAGTTTCGTTCTCTAAGATGGATGGTATAGTTATGGAGCTTTCATCGTTCTTCTGAACGACATCATCAGCACAAACGTCTGGTAGAAGTGAAGTGTTCAAATTGTGGTTCACAGCTTGTCCTGTACACCTTGATGTTGATTGGTTCTTGTTGACCTTTAACCTATCATTGTTTTGATTGTATCTCCTATTGGTTTGATTTTTGTTCCTATATTTGTGCATAATTTTCCTGATTGTTGGTTCGGTTTCAATGTACTTGTTTATTGCTGATTGACCTGAGTGCCAAGCTTCTAAAAATTCCTTGGTGTTTTTGGAATTTTGTCTATCCAACATTTTCACATTTTTCTAGTTAAATATGTGTCCTCAGTTGTCCATATGCAATGATATAAGTGGGGACATGTCATGGTATTTGACTGCTAATTGATCTTCATGAAAGCGATGAAGAGGGCATCCACTTTGTTCAATGTAGTGTTTTTCGCCGTTCACACAATTTATTTTCTAGATGATGTTTGGTTTGTCTTCTTTTTTCATTTTATCCTTTGGTTTGCATATGATTGATTGTAGGGATACTGATAGTTTTTGCGCAACACTCATTCCGAAGGTTTCCATCAGTTTTGTTGTTGTTCTTGATATGTTTTTTATGTATGGTAGGGCGATCCTTTTGTTGATTTCTGTGCTAGACTTTGATTCTGATAATGCGTGCGGCTGGTATTTTTGGATTGGATAGCTATTCTTTTAAAGGATGGTATTTTTCATCATTTTTTCTTGCTGTAATTGTGTTGCAGTGTGTCCTAGTTCACACTTGAACAAGGTTTGTACGCTTATCTAGATTATTATGTGAATATATATACATATATGACATGGCTGCTAATTCTGTGGAAAACAGTCTCTTTATGTTACAGATACATCATCGTAATAACTACCGACTAGTCTAAAAAATAGGTTCAAAACTTCTTTTCAGTAGTCATCATATATATTCATCTTGAATTTACTTCAGCATAGAAAACAGTGTACATGAATGATTAACGAAATATGAGAAAGATGACAGTGAATTACGTAACACAGTCTATAGATAAATAATTTTTTATAATGATCTGTTAGACATGGGAAAGAAAAAAAAAAGCAAATTGTAGTGAACAGAACATCAGTGGGTACAGAGCATAGAATTACAGAACATCTCGATAAAATCTGAGAATCATATAGTAAATGCTTAATTCACAAAATGTTCATCAATTGTCTTCAAATGACTCAAACTTCATTGTCCTTGCATTTTCATACAAATTACATTCTGTGTCCCATTCTTTAATGTTCAATCCTCTTGTCTCTCTGCTGCAAGACATTCTGTTCCTGACTAACATCATATACTACTTATATCGATTTAAGTAGAACACACCACAAAATAACTGATTGTATTTTAGAAGTCAAATCATTTTACTAATAATAAGTAATTAAGATTTCCATAAATCATGTTTTATATAAATGACCTTGAATGCATATCTTTCCCTCTTGGTTTTTGTACTTTGTTTCCTTTTTCTTTTTCTATTATTTTTAATGAACATTTTAATTAGAAAGGGGGATAAATGATTCACTATAACAAACATATTAAACATTCTTTTTTATTTATTTTTTTTTAAATTTTTTTTTTGAAATGTTAATTTTTTATTGTTGCCAAGTTACAGTTTCATGAAATTCAATTATAATTATGCTTTGAATTATTCCAGAATTTATCTAACAGACCATATCTATACAATAAAGACAAATAATAATTAATATTATGATAAAGAAATCGTATATTCAGTTTAGTCTATTAAGGCAACATACATTAGTTTTATTTGATATGAAAAAAAAAACAAAAAAAATTTACACATGGAAACCTACTTATCATATAAACTACAGTTGTATTAAAGCGTAAATCAAGCAGGTCAAATGAAAACTTATAAGAAGTAAGAAGACAAAAAATAAGGGAAAAATCTAGTCATAATTATAAAAGTGTTACATTAGAAAAAGAAAATAAATAAACGAAATTCAGTTGAATAACAATTAGGTCAGTATGACAACACAAATGATGAGAGAGAAAAAAACAAACGACAATACATAATTGAATAAAGAAAGCAAAATGAATAAAAGAAAAGAAAGAAGAATAGATTAATTGAATGGAAATGAATAGAAGCAAAATAATAATGACATGTTTATTGTTACAAAACTGCTGTAATAAACATTAATTATTCATTATTGTTTCTTATTTGAACAAATTCATAAATGTTTATTTGGTACATAAATGTTTTTAAAATTACAATAGATTATAAACAATTCAGTAGTGATTTTCACTGATTGTATAGTTTAAGTAGCATCTTGTTTCAATAGTTGAGATCATGAGCCAATTGAAGCTAGATCATGATGAAAAACTTAGGAGAACTAGATGGTTGTTTCGTCCCTTTGTGAGACTCCTCAGCAGTGCGCATCCACCACCCTGTCTCGCGGGATTCGAACCCAGAACTTATTGATCTCGCGCGTGAGCGCTTAACTTCTAGACCACTGAGTTGGCCGGCATCCAGCGGTGTTAATGTCTCATTTCAAATAATTCACGAAAGTGAGCGACACATCCATCATTTTCATCAATGAGTTATTATCTCACAATAGACCCGGCTGTCTAGTGCTTCCAGGTTCCCAGTTATGTTCTAGCTTAAATTGACTCATGATCTCAACTATTGAAGTTACTACAATCTCCAGAAAACCTCTTTATTTAGTTCAGATAGTCAGTAGAAGAAGAATTAGCTAACATCAAGTTAATAGAACATAACTCTTATGTTAGTTAATCTTTCTTTTTAATACTAATATTTATTGTTACTGAGGCGATTAAAATGATTTGTATTGTTTATTTTGAAAAAAATGTCGCCTGCTATTCTAATATGCATGTTTGAATACGGAATGGTTTTCATAATAATAAATTATGCATTCCATTTGAAAATTTTGTTTTTATTAATATACATGTTGTGGCATTCAGAAAAAAGATTATACTGAGAAGGATTCATGGAGATTGTCTGATTTTATTGTTTACGTCAAGTGTTTAGTAGTAATAAAATTTCGGAGAAGTCGTGATCAATGGATTTAAACTATGATAGTTATAAAACAGTTATACACTAATGTAACATAATTAAAAAATACTACCAGTTAACTGAAGTTAGAAACGTACACTATTGGGAAATGTCTCAGTATTTGGATTTTAATTGCTCTCCACAAGACTTGACAGACCTGAGTTTAATCCTGAGTGAGCTTGTGAATGCTCACTTCTAAGACCCGTTCATGATGTAAATTGTGAGATCATAGTGTTTTTTGTTTAATGCGTCATACGTTCGAATATAATCATCACTCAAATATTCTGTTTGATTCGACATTCGTAATAATGGACTGTAGTAAAAATATAATGAACTTATACTTCCCATCACAACGTCAACACATTTATTTCTTGTGGATTACAATTTGTTCCACATCGCTCAACTGCCGATGCTTTTGTCTGGCATGTCTGGTTTTTATCTTGATCTACTTTCGATGAAGGCATATGGTATGGGAAATTTTCTGTACCCCTAAAGATTAGGCAAATTGATAAATTCAGTCAGAGATCTTCCAGTATGGTAAACTGCATTATAAACATCAATGAATGCATTTTATGCAAGCGAGTACCATTCGATAGTTATTAGTGTAGAAAACTTTACTAAGAGTTCATGAGTCATTTCATTAGTAAAACGTTCTTCAGAAATAAATTAGTCGATTGTATGAGTGGTTATACTTTCACATTCAAATAAAAAAAAACCTTAATTGATACATAATTTTGACTTGAATTTCTCGGAGATCCTTCAATTATTGTTAAACATTTATGGCGATACTGTTAGTTGCAATTAAATGTTCACTAGGTAGTGACCAGTGTCATATTTCTCTGGTCCTTTAGTACTGAGGGAGTTTCATTGATCAAATTGCATTTTGGTCAATAATTTAAGTGACCCAACATTGCGTGTACTATAAGGTGGGATGTTAAGTGGTTAAAAATAGTCGACAGTAAACTATACAATATCTCAGTCTCTAAAGCTAAGTGATGCATGTCTGTAGTGAACAAGAACATGAGTGAGGACAATCGAACCATATAGTAAATACATAATTTGCAAAATATCAATCCATCGTCTAAAACTTGACTGTTTCTATTGCAAACATCAATCCATTGTCTTAGATTTCATTGTTCATGAATTTTCATAGCGATTGCTTTCCGTTCCCGTTTTTTCTTCATCGACCATCTACTAAAATACAATCCATGCCTGATCACTATTATATACTACTTATGTTTTGAGATTTAGATGGTGGTTGGAGGTAGTCAACAGGAAACCCTGGACCCGGGTTTCGTGCTACTTGGCACTCGTCAGCAAGGTGTACCTGTAATCTTGAGGGAACTGGTGCTCCCTGGCCACATTGCAACATGATCGATAGCATTCGATCTGCACTAATAAGGACTAGACACGCAAGACATTGATCACCACCCAGTGATCAATCAATTGTAAATACTACTTATGTGGATATAAGTACCCACACCACACAATAAATACAACTTGTTGATTCACGATAACTAGAAAAAGAAACCTCAATCACAAAAATT